TTGAAAGTGTTAGACCATCTTAAAATTACTAAATACCTCTGTCCCAACATAGAGGGTTTCATATAACATTTAGTCCCAATGATGTTCTTTCACATTTTATTATTTTTATTAGTTCTTATGTTACTAATCTGGTATTGTATCTATACAGTTAAATTATTATGAAGTAAAATTAAAGAATACTACATGGACATCAATATATGTATTAATAACATAGATTTTTAGCTAAATCAGTAGTTCACATAGTTGAAGTCATCACCATGGGAAATCTTAAATGTTCAGTTTCTTTTCATTCTTATGAATTTTTTAGATCTTAAAAGATTTTCTTCTTACAGATGCAATAGCCATCAGTTTGGCGATCTACAGCATTTATCCGGCCATTTGTCACATGTATGCATTTATTATCAGCATTTTGAAGTGTAGGAAGACGCCTAGAAAAGAAAATAATTTCCATTAAGTACTGAATTTGCTTTAAATAGCATTTTTATTTTTAAGATTGGTATTATTTTAATGTCTTATAAAGAGGAAAAATGTAACTTTCCCAGTTCTTCACAATTAAACAAGTAATTAATGTATTTTAAAATTTAATATTAACCCTGTAATTTGTATGCCAATGTCTTTAATTCTAAGATAATCTCCACGACCTCAACAATTTCAGTGTCTTCTATTTTCACTGGGATTTACAGATGGCTTTTATCCATTAACCCTTTGATAAATATGAAACTCATTCTACTATTAATATAGTACAGTAAAATTATTGTTAAACATCAATAATAATTAACTCTCTTCTGAAAAATGCACTATAATTCCTGAGGAGGGCATGTGATGACTATGAGAGGGCACCATTAGAAATGAGAGGCAGTCACCTAGAGTTGTAAGTAAATCTGCAGTATTAATTGTGACCTTATGTTGGAAAATCACTCCTTTTACTTGGGATTATTGGAAGGTACTGTGCAGATTATATTCATAAGATCTCAGAGGATAAATCATATTTTGGTTAGATTTCTATACTAGAAGATTTGACATTAATGCATTGTTAAGATTTGGTAAGGGAAGAGGAAGAAGGGATAAATGTGAGACAGTATCTTCATGGAGTTTGTCTACGTAGCAGACACCTTCTACTTGCTGAAATTTATCATTAGGGTGTTTTTTTGGCAAGTACTTTTTGAAGTAGGTTCTTTTATTCACCTTATTTTATAGATGACAGAGAGACTGAAATACAAATTGTTTGAATAACAAGACTAACATCTGGGCCTCTCTGGTGGCATAGGAGATAAGTCTCAGTGCTATCACTGCTTTGGTCTGAGTTTGATGCCCGATCAGGGAGCTAATACACATATTGTTGCAGCAGACATTTCCTGTCTCATCAGTTACTGCCCTTAGCAGTGTATTTCAGTAGATCGGCCTGTTCTGCTCCCCACTCTGTCTCTGGTGAATCCTCTCACCCCCAACCTCTGGCCTACACCCCAGTTTTCTATGCATAGATAATAAATAATTTTTTAAGGCAAGACTAATATCATAAAAGTGGCAGACTCAAGAGATGGATCCAGATAGTTTAGCTTCTCACCCTATGCTATTGATGCAATCATTGAGTAGAAAAGTCTAGGATGGAAGGTCTCACAAGGACAAACACTAGAGATGGGGGGCAGGGATAATTAATGAATCTTGTACTAAACCTGGCTGTGGGAGTTTCCAGGAATCTAAGGTAGGGTCAGAAACCACTATCAGCCAGAGGTGGGCACAGAGAAGATTATCATCTTAGAAGACCAACCCAGTCTGACCATAAAGGATTACTTTCCACAATAATGCCATCAAAGAACATTATAGAAGAACATCCCTTGCCCTGGCAAAATGCAGCTATTGCCTTTTAAGACTGTCCATCAATGTCTATGTAGGCCTCTCTCTTTCCTTGTTCTTCTTTCCTCCATAAACTCGTCATGTGTTGAAGAATTGGAATGTCTGTTGAATACTATCTCAGGGGAACCCAAGAAACCCACTCACAAAATCCCATCATTTGAACTCACTATCAATTACTCACCACATTAAATTGTGGAAGTGAAGAGAGGAAGCCAGAATATTAATATATCAGCAGTTTCCCAGAGTCTTACTAACTGAACTTTAGAAATATTGTGATATATTTTGCAGTAAATGATATGAAATTTCATACAAAGAAATTGGATTTAGAAAAAGCATCATGCATAAAACATAAAACATACACAAATGATAACTACAGTGAATCAGAATTTCAGATATAAACGATAGAATGGAAAGTTTCATTTTATATTGACTGCTACGAACATGTTTTTGTAACATATTTGGCATGTGTTTATGTATACATTGCAACAGGGGTTTGAAATGAAGGTGTAAATTGGACTTGTTGTTTATTGGAGACATAATCTTAAAACATAACTCATCAAAGCAGCATCTATTTCTTCATAATCAATTCTATTTTGCTGCATAATTATCACTAAGTTTCATAAATGTATTAACAATACAAATCATTCTCAGCTTTTCACACCAAAGCAATAGGAAATAGATAGGATAGGAAATATCATCAGTTGAAAACCTATTTAATACCACTTACCTCCTAAACATGGAATCTTAGCCTCACCTCCCTTAAATAAGCCAGAGCACTTACATTAGCCTACAGTTTTGCAAATCATCCAACACAGCCTATTTTAAAAAGTGTTGACTTTCGCATGCAATTTGCTGACTACTGTACTGAAAATGATTGAGTCTGAGGGGTATGAATGTTGATGCTTGAGCTGACCTGGCGTCTGCTGCCTGCATAATGAGTATTATATCACATCTCATCAGCCAGGAAATGATTAAAATTCAAAGCACAGTTTCTACCAAATGCCTATGATTTTTGCATCATAATAAAATTCTTAAGGAAAATCTTAAGGAAAATCATTGTAAGTCATGAACTGTCTGAAATAGATCATAACATGGAATGTGTATGTATACGGGCATCTGATATTGAGATATTGACTGGGGATAATTCCGTGATTGCTTCATTAAAATCTTCTGCCACAACTACATGCATGGTCTCATAATAAGATAGTCAACTTCATACATAATTAACTGTAGACAAATGTTGACACATTCCAAAAAGCTTGTTAGGGATTTTTTGTTTTTCTCTTTTCCAACATCACAGTAAGATATTATTATTTTTAATATTCAAATCAATTATTTGGCTAATTTTATCACTAACAGTCAGAAATTTCTTCTGCACCACCACCACATGCAATTAATAATGGTCTGACTTCAAATGTATGAGGAAGTCCATGGAAGTATCTATGGTGAGAATATTAACATATGGATTTGAGCTATATCATCATTGTGCAATGGATTCCAAACTCTAGTATATTTTATAATTTATAGAAATATTTTTTAAAGATTTATTTATTTATGCATGCAAGAACTGGGGTACAGGCCAGAGGTCCAGGGGGGTGAGAGGATTCACCAGAGACAGAGTGGGGAACAGAACAGGTATATTGACTGAAATACACTGCTAAGGGGAGCAGCGGGTGAGACAGAGAGAGGTCTGCTGTTCCATGTGGGTAGCTCCCTGGCAGGCTGGAGATGGAGCTCCTGCTGCAGAGGCTGCAGATAGCTCCATAGTGCTATGCTTAACACTGCGCCACCAGGGAGGCCCTATAGAAATATTTTTTAGAATGCAATTCTATGCCTCTCACTCTAGGTAGCCTAATGAAATCAAAAGAGATGAGGTCAGTAATATTTTTGAAAAAGTATGTAGTGGGTTGAATAATGTCCCCTGAAAATGCGTGCCCCCCGCCCCAGAGACTTAGAATATGATGTGACCTAGAAATAGATCTTTGTAGATGTAATTGAGGTAAGGACTGAGATGAAATTTTGTTGGATTGAGCTTAATTCCTTATATATCATCCTTATAGGAGAGAAATGGGCATAGCAAGAAGCAAACTAAAAGCATCATGAAGTGGAAGCTGTAAGTTTGGGTGACACCAAGGGTCACCAGGCAAGATCTCTGTGGCTCAGGTCATGTAATATCTTCCATTTTCACTGAGGTTTACTTTATTTCCTTTATGTTGATTTTTTTTAAAGATTTATTTATTTATTTATTTATACAAGCACTGGGTACAGTCAGAAGCGCGGGAGGATGAGAGAATTCACCAGAGCCAGAGCGGGGAGCAGAGCAGGCAGAAGGACCGAAGTACACTGCTGAGGGGAGCAGCGGGCGGCAGGAGAGGTCTGCGCACATGTGGGACCCTCCTCCAGTGGCCGGGGAGCAGCGGGGGATCTAACCGGCGCTGCAGAGGCTGCCGGAAGCTTCGCAGCCCAGCGCTCAACCTCTGCGCCACCAGGCGAGGCCCTATGTTGATATTTTGATTAATAATTTCTATAGCACATACAGTACAGCAAATTGTTGTTCAACATCAATTACAAATATTTCCCTAGAAAATTTCAGCTAACTCCGTCAAGACAAATGAACTTTTAAAGGAACAAATGTACTGACTTCTACCTTCCCAACTAAACAAACTTCATTGCTTTCAGCCAGGCAGTTTGTGGCTTAAGACAAAAACAAGTAATAGTTTTGGACAACAAATATAAAGAACACTGGGTGAGATCACAAGAGGAAGAAAAATGTTTCAAGAAAATTTCCTTGGAAGTCCATGTTTTTGGAGTAAAAAGCTACATTAATGGTAAAATGACAACTCTGATGTATAATCTTGAAATCTTGTGCAAGATTATCTATTTAATTACCTAATAATACATAGAAGAATGGTAAACTTCAATCGTGACACTGATGAGTAACTCAAATAAGTTATGAGCTAAAAGTTTAGCCTAGTACTGTTATCTTTCACTTATTTTTTAACTTTTATCCTTTCTTTTCTTGGTTGATTTGTTATGGCTACATCTGGATATAATCTAACTTCTGTTTACAGATGCCCAGTAAATATTTAGGATTGGAAGAAAATATGAGCTTCTGGTCTGGAATTTTAAAACAGCAAAAGACTTACTTGCTCAGGGTATAATCTGTAGCATCGAACCAAACCCATTTTTTCCATTGGCTGTTGTAGGATAAACTGAGGAAAAACTTTTCTTTACGCATTTCACACTGCAACTTTGACAACTGCATTACAAAATCCTGCAGAGAGAGGAAATGAATATGAAAATAGAACTTTCCCTGAGGAAGAGGAGCATAATTGCTTAAATACCTTTTTTAATTTTTCAACTTCCCTTTAAAATCTGTTGTATTATATGCAAAAAATGTGGATGGATAAGCCTTAGTTTCTTTACACAAGAGTTGGATTGTCAACTATTTATATATCTCCTTTATTCATGAGGAATTTTTTTTGGCCTACATTATATTTTAGTCATTTACTTGGTGTTTTAAAAATGATCAATAAACCTCATAAGTATAGTCACTTAAATTAGAACACTTAAAAAATAGAACAACATTCATTAGCTTAGGCAATACATAGTGACACATGTCACAGTGGAAATAGGTAATGAAAGGAGAAGAAATAGCAGGGGTTTTATCTGGTTGTACTGAGCCCAGGATGTTTTGCAAGGGATTGTCTACTAAACTAAAATCTTAAAAAAGAGCGTGCATTAACCAAGAGAAGAGATTTTGGAGTAGGTAATGGAGTAGATAAAATTTGTCACAGGCGAATGAAACAATTTTTTTTTTCATTTTTTGAATGTGTATTTTATTTATTGGTTTTGTTAATACATATGTTAATACATATATGGACATAATACATATGCTAAAATTTTCAAGTTTTAATAGTTTTTGCTTCAAGACTTCTACTCCCTCTATTTTATGTTGGCTTAGATCCATATACAGAAAGCAGGAAAGCTTACTTTCTTTGTTTTAGAGGTGAAAAAATATTTAATATGCAATATAAGTACAATAAAAGATGAAAATCATTTACACATTTATTCAGTATGGTCAGGAACCTGCTAAGAAATGTTTGCTGATCCAAATAGCTCAATATTTTGTAAAGTGCAAGGTCAAGAAAAGATTCATTTAGGTTTTCTTTTCTTTTTTTTTTTTGCTTTTGAATTTGACGTTGGTTTCCTGTACTTCTGATTCAATTTACATTAGTGTGTTCTAACCTTTTGTAAGAAATTACATTAAGTTTTTCTAAATAAGAATAAAATATTTCAAAATAAAATATTTCAAAATAGCTTGTATGTTCCAGGAATACACTCCTGTAGCTATGGGAAAAGAACACTTTAAAGAAGAAAACTTCAATCATGCTCCTGCCATTATTTGGATATAATCCTTGTTGATAGTCTTCCCTCTAGTCTTTCTATTAATATATAAAATATAAATTTATGTATTGAATGTGCTTTTATTTATAAAACATAAATATATGGCTCTTACATATCATAATTGAGCCTACATTGGTAGATATATATGCATATATGTATATTTACATATGAACATATATCTTTTTTTTTTTACTAATTCGATGACATATTACTCTTGTGGATTACAATGGTCATAGATTCTTTGTCACCTCTCTCACTGAGAGATGCAATCTGTTTCCTTTCCCTTGAATTGGAGATTAGCCCTGGAATTTGTTTTGACCAGTAAAATGCAGATGAAGTGAATTTAACTTCTGAGGCCAAGTCTTAAGATATCTATAGCTACTACATTTATTACTTAGAACATTTCTTCTTGGATTCCAGTCCCCATTCTTTGAAGAAGTATAAAAAACTGCATTAAGAAACCCATGTGGAAGAGAACCAAAACTCAGGAACATGAAAGAAAACACTTTGACCCCTCCAAATTGTCCCAGGACTCCAGTCAAATTTAGCCCATAGAACTGTGAGACATAAAAACTTGTTTTAAAGGAGTAGGTTTTGGGTGGCTTGTTTTATAGCAACCTAACTGGGCAATCACATACATTTTTATGTCATTAAAAAGTTAACATACACAATTGTGATAGCTTCAGAATGTTGCTTTATAAATACGCTGTAGATTACCACTTCCTTATTACTAGACAAATAAAGGATTATTCTTCACTATTTTTAAATATTCTTTTATTTTATATATTTTTACATCATTTTTCATTTTTGCACAATGTATGCATTTTCATCTTGGTTATAGTCCCCATAAATTCCAACCCCCTTTATTTTGACCCTAATCCCCACCCTATCCCCATCCCATAGTGTGTCTCTGGTTTATAGTTGCTTGTTGATTTTGATTTTTACTTTATTATAATTAGTCTTTTTCCTGGTACCTTATTTAGGATGAAACAACAATTTGAGAAAGACATGAAGGATCACAGGGTCCTTTATGCATGTAAAGAAGTGCATGACCATGAGCCCAGGGCAGGCTGCTCTAGAACAGGTGCTGGGGGGGGGTCCTTTGTGGCAGAGGAGGCCGGGAAACAGGTAAGAGTCAGATTCAAAATTAACTTAAATACATTACTTGTACTTTCTCCTAAGTGCTGACAAAAGCCATAAGCATTTGTTAAAACTAACTGCCATTTTGCAAAGATTCCTGTGACTGTCATATAAAAGCTGTTTTAGAGGAATATGAAACTTCTGTGACTGCAGTCATTTTTAATTTTCCATAAAAAAGTCACTAAAATTTAAGAAACAAAATCTTATTCTTACCATTGCTTCTTCAGTATCCACTTTAACAAAGCTTGAATGTAAGTCAGCGCAATAACCAAAACATTTACTCCAAAGAAGCATCTTTCTTGAGAAAAAGTAGCAGTTTCCTCCATGCTGATACCAGCTAGTTGAACAAGTAGAATATTTCCAAGCTATTATAAAAGATAGAATACTCATGAATCCCTCCCTTCAGTGCAAGTCACATCAGTAAGTTACACCAAATCTATTCTCTACAGACAGAATACATTTGTTTTATACTACATTTGTAAGCACTTAAAGTGTAAGCACTTAAAGTGTTAGATTTTTCTCACATTAATAATTCATCTCATTGAAAATATTTTGGTCTTTCAGATTGATAACAATGCATAAGGGAGACAATTTCTTAAATTACAAAATTAGAAATGTATCAGGAAAAAAACCCAAATATTAACATACAGTTGTTAAAAAAAAAGTTTAAAAGAAAAAGCAACATGGGCTTCCATGGTGCTATTCATCCAAGATATCATAACTAACCAATTACAGTTTTATCCTCTCCCAAAAGTGGAATTCTAAGCCAATCCATCTCAGGGTCCTCTACTGAGGTCATCTCATCATTTTATAATAATGGAATTTCCTCAAATGGAAGGTGGCTTGCTGAAATAATCTTTCTTTCCTTTCACCAATAACATTGGCCCACCCTTTATTTGTCTTTAAAATTTTCAATTTTGTGTCAGCCCTTGCAGATTCTTTTCACTTGCTAGACAGGACACTGCCCAGTACATGAATCATATAATAAAACCAATTAGATATTTATACATGTTAATTTTGTATTTTAACAATTCATGTGACTACTGACAAGCACTAGTGTTACAGGTAAATTTCACTCAAATATGCTTACATGTATACAGCTAAAATATCAAACACAATAGCTGATAACAAGTGAATTCTTTCCTCTCTCTCCTCCCAATATAATTACTAAAGCCTTCCAAAATTACCTGTTTTATTTGCTTCCTTGTTGCAAGAGATATTTTGTGGGTGTCCTTCTGCATTAAATGAGTTCTGATTCACTGAAGAGAATTCAGAAAGATCTATTTAAACTCAAAGAGAAAAGTAAAAGGACAAATCCTGTGTGCCAAATACTGCAATATATTTTGAAATTTAGAAAATGATTAATGAAATATCACTTACATTGAGGTTATCCTGATGAGACTCCAATATAGTCTCCTAATAAAAGAATGCTTTGCCTGAAATCATTTCTTTACTTTTGTCAATAATCTTTTTCTTACCCTCTTTCCATCATTAAAAACCATCATTGTGGGTAAGCCCCTGCAGATCTACACACCCTTCCTGCTTGCTAGACATGACACTGCCCAATTTTTGAATCATGTAAGAAAACCAATCAGATATCAACATTTGTTAATTTTTAAATAATATGTATGACTGAGAAATGCTTGACCCTAGAAGTAGGATTCACTCACATCTGCTTATGTATATACACTTGTATGTATCACGCAAGATAGCAAGTCAACGTGAATTCTCTCTCCTGCAAATAAAATTAGGAACTGAGACATTTCCAAAATTACCTGTTATATTTCTTCCCAAGTTACAAGAGAAATTTCCTGGCTGTCCTTTGGCATTAACTGAGTTCTGCTTCACTGAAGAGAATTCAAAAAAATGATTTTTTTAACTCAAGTGAAAAAAATAATTGGATAGCCAGACACTATGCTATATAGAAAATACAAAAGTAATTATTGAGATATCACTTGCATTAAAGAATTCAATGTAATAGATACATAAACATAAATAGCAAACTGCAATATAATTATGATAAGATCATACAGCAATTGATCACAGAAGAAGCAAATTATGTTACAACATTGTTAAGTAAGCTGATCACATTCATAAAAATATTTTAAATGGAACAAAAGACAACACTTTTGACAAAGTAAATGTGAGAATAGACAGTAAGAGTCATGATATACTTTATTTGAAATCATCTTCAGTTTTTTGTCACAGAATCTTATGCTTGGTCAAGGAATAGAGTGAATTAAAAACATAATCAACAGATTTCACAATGTGAGTAGAGAAAGCATATTTCTTTTTTAGTTAGTACTTACACTTTATAACTAAGAAACCAATAAATGCAAGCAGTGCCAGGCAAATGATCCCCAGAATCACTGCAATGATTTTCCATGAAGAAGTTGGAGCAGGACAGTCTAGAGAAAAGGATGAATACATCTTGTGACATCAGGCTAAATGTCAAACTTGAATTTCTTGAATTTTCATTTTCCAATGACTCCAACATTATCACTAAAATCAATTGCAGAGTAGGATCAGAAAAGGTAGTTGGTTCGTTCCAACTTGAATTTATCTTACTAAATGTCATTTATTGCATTTCAAACATCAAATTTGTAAAAGATGTGTAATCACCATGGCAAGCATACTTATATTTGTGACCATTCCCTCCCTTTGCCTCTTCAACCCCAATACCAAGAGGACATCATCTTCACTCAGATTACTGTTCACTCTTATCCTATATTTAAAGACAGCTTTCCCCCTCCCATGTCTGACTTGTGGCTTTTCTATAATTTTTGTTTTAAGTAATCAGTGAATATTTTTAAAAAGTCAAAAGAAACCAAAAAATAAATTCTAATCTACATAATAAAGATGTTAGTTGAACTACTGGGTAGTAAAGAATAAGGAATACATTATTTAAATTAGTAAGAGATCCGGAATGAAGGTTTTCAGAAAACATTTATCTTGTAAAAGAATTGGACAATGGAAAATGAAGACAATTGTGAAAAGATTACTATGACATATATAAACCCTCCACTCTACCAAACATAAAATTGAGTCCTTAGCAAATTCTTTAGCTTGCTTCATTTTCCTATTTTAGACATGTGTGGGCAACATTGGGCAGTTGTTTGATATTACATGAGTTACTTAATTGCAATAAACTTGAGATCTTCCTCATGAAATGGGAACTATGACATTAAATTCTTTCTAGCTTCTACAATGCTCCTTTATTAAGGAATGATAGTCATTTGGGCAAACATTCTTCTATCTTGAAGCTCTATTAAAAATCAATAAATAAATTAAAACATATACACAAAGAGACAGAATATGAGAGAAGAAAATGATGGAGTAGATATTTTTAAACAGGGTTTTGAGACAGACTGTGCGTGGCATGGGGGCATGAATTAGCCATCAGCACTGCATTGAGGTTGAAAGCAAGGGACTGGAGTTGAGGCCACTTACTAGCTGCATGGACTGGACAATTTACTTAAATTCGCCTTGTCATAGGTGCATAATCTGTAAAATTGTGATAATAGTGCCTAAACTATGAAATTGTTCAGAGAGTTAAACACATAATTTTAAAAGCTTACAAGAGCCCTAGTTTACAGTAAATGAACAATGAAGCATGTAATGTAAATGCTCTATATGAGCAGGAGCTTGAGACTTGGATGTGGGAGTAGGAAGTTTGGATTTTTCTTTTTTTTTTAAGATTTATTTATTTATGCACACAAGAACTGGGGAATAGGCCAGAGGTGCAGGGGAGGGAGGGTGAGAGGATTCACCAGAGACAGAGTGGGGAACAGAACAGGCAGATTGACTGAAATACACTGCTGAGGATAGCAGCAGGCAAGTCAGGAGAGGTCTGCCGAGCTATGTTGGTCATCTCCCTGGCTGCCCAGGAATCAAGTTCATGCTGCAGAGGCTGGGTTTAGCTTCACAGTGCTGTGTTAACCCCTTGCACCACCAGGGAGGCCCGAGTTTTGCTTTTTCTCTGATTGAACTGGGAATGACCATCTGGCTTTATTTCAATAAATGAACCCTGATCACTTTTGCTGCTACGGACATAGGGTACTGAACAGATGTGGATGTAGAAAGGGGTACAAGGACAGGATGAAGGACACAAGGTAAGCAGCTACTGGAGTAATACACAAGAGAAATTGGCAGCTTGGAGCAAGTGTTGATGGAGAAATTCTGATATTTTGAAATAAAAGCTGGCAGGATTTGCTGATGCAGATTGAGAGCAAAAGTGTCTAGTAAGCAACACATCAAGGAATGTATTTAAAGTTATAATTAGAAAAGGCAAAAAAAACACAGAGCTCCTTGTTACATTAGTTGAGAGCCACTGGTCTCTAGAGGAGAAAAGGCTTTAGGCTTCCCAATTACAGACTTCAACCATTACAGACTTTATTCAACAATTACAGACTTTAAGTTTCAAACATGCTATTTTAACCATCAGGTCTCTATATTTGTACATTAAGTATAAAAATAATTTAGCTTGGGGCCTCCTTGGTGGCCCCAAGTCTCAGCGCTACCACTTAGCTGGCAGCCCTGAGCAGCGTGGCCTGAGTTCAACTCCAGGCCAGGGAGCTGGCCCACATGGCACAGCAGACCTCATCTTTCTCACCCACTGCTCCCCTCAGCAGTATATTTCAGTAAATGTACCTGTTCTGTTCCCCACTCTGTTTCTGGTGGATCCTCTCATGCCCATACCTCAGGCCTAAACCCCAGTTCTTATATGCAAAAATAAATTTTAAAAAAATCTTACAAAAAACTGAAACTAAATAAATAATTTAGCCTGTAGTGTTCTTTTAGTATGATTTACATATAAGAAAGTACTTATAAATTGAGAAAAACTTAAAGGTATTATTATGCAAAAATAAATAATGGTGAAAATATGTGTGTTCATGCACATACCCACACCAAATAATTTCATTAAGAAAGTTTTCCTATATAAGTCTGTTGGTAACTACATATGCTGACAGATGAACTGTTCATTAGGAATGAAAAAAATGCAATCATTTCTGAATCATTATAGGTAGTTTCTAGTGCAGAAGTTTTAAAAAATTGTTAAGACTATAGTAAGTAAAATTAGAAGATATTGTTCTTGCCTTATTAGTCATGTTCTCTGCTTTTTAAAAGAAACATTTAAATTGTGTGTGTGTGTGCATGTGTAGGAGCATGATAATGCACAATCTTGTGTATTTTTAATATAATTTTCAGAAAGAACATGTAGAAAACAAAAATACCTTCATTCATACAGTCTGATGGAGCATTTTTTTTAGATGTTTCAAGATCTTGTTTGTTCTGTTGCTTAGATGGATGTTGGAATCGCAAATCTGAATAAGTTAC